GCTGAAAAGCAGACTCTTGTAGATTACCAGGGAGAATGTGAAGAGGGAAGGTGACTGACGACTCGGTAGGGCTAGCAGGATTGGGGAAACGCTTTGGGGGTAAAAACATCGTGGACAGAAATGAGAAAAGACAGGGGCGCCTGGGTGGCTCAGTCGGTTGGGTGTCTGACTTCCAGCTCAGGTCACTATCGAGGTTAGTGAGCTCGAGCCCCACACGGGGCTTGCTGCTGTCGGCCTGTCGGCGAAGAGCCCGCTTCGGATCCTCTCTCTGCCCCTCCCCCACTTGTGCTTTAAAAAAAAAAAATAATAAGTAAATGAGAAAAGACAAAGGCATAACTGGGATGAAAAAGCAGAAGGGGCAGGATCAGGAAAGTCTGATGGTTAAGCTTCAAAAGCCAGGGAGAGGCAGACCCAGGTCTCCAACAGAGCATGTGGACGTGGAGAGAGAACGAAGGGAGCCCAACGGTCTGATGACCTTGGCTTTAGAAAACAAGGTCACCTGATAAGGAATGGGCTGGGGAATTTGCAGGCTCCCAAGCTGAGCACAGGGATACATTGGAGGCGGAAGAGGCTAATAAAGACCCAAGTAAGTGTAGGGCCAGTCGATTTTCTTTCCTGACCTGGGATCATCAGTGAGGCATAGAATTATAGTAGGAAGCAATCTCAGGTTGTTTAGTTTATTGGCTTTAATTGTTTTATTATATCCATATGGCACTTGGGGCCCATATAATTGGCCTGATGTTATAGTCTGGTGGCGGAGGGGGTGTCGAGGAAGATAATGGTCAGCATAGCTTAAGTAGTCTTAGCAGTTAAGATTTTATGGCTTTTCACGTTTAAAGATAGGGCCTATGAACCTTGTCATGACCTGGACTTGATGTAATTAAGCTGATAAATGCTCTTGGTGTAATGGACTAAGGCTTTCGATGTGAGTAGATCTCGGGGCTCCCTGTGCATTAAAGAATACTTAGGTTTGTATTAACAGGAACCAAATGAATGCCGAGATTTTAAAAAACACTGGGGGAAAAGCAAAAACAGTAATGAGAAAACATTTCAGGTTGAGTCTTGATTTGGCCTTCGTTCCCAGTGTTGTTCCCTAGATGTTTGTGATAGGAGGTCTTTGCTATAATTGCTGACGCTCTGGGTGCCTACTAGGGAATTTCTCTTCAACGCCATCGAGACGATGCCTTGTGTAAAGAAGAAGGCGGATTGGGCCTTGCGTTGGATTGGCGACAAAGAGTCTACCTACGGTGAGGCCCCCTTTGGCCCCACTTATGCCTGAGCTTCATCCTCTGGTGACGGTCACTGGCTTGTGAGCCCTTCCTGTGCACGTGCTCGGTTGCCCACTAGAACTATGTCGATGTTAACTCTTCCGCAGGAGAGCGGGTTGTGGCCTTTGCTGCAGTGGAAGGAATCTTCTTTTCTGGTTCTTTCGCGTCGATATTCTGGCTCAAGAAACGCGGCCTGATGCCTGGCCTCACGTTTTCCAATGAACTTATTAGCAGAGATGAGGTGAGTCTAATACACACAACAGGCTGATCTGCACCCCAAATATCTACAACTCTTGGGTTCCCTGAAGGGAACTCAGGACAACAGACTGCCTTGTATCTACATTTAACATGTGAGTTCAGTGATTACCTGTATTTGGCAGAGAATGAACACTACTTTTCATTTACCGGAAGGTATTTGTATTCTCAATACATTTCTATGTCCGTCGCACTGTAGGTGAGGGGATGTTGTATTATTTTGGCCCGGTAGCCTATCTATGACCCTAGTGTATTTCACAGTTGGCTGAGCATCCTGACCGAGTGAGAATCCATTCCGGTCCAGTGTATGTCTTTGAGTGCTATTGGATTAAACTGGAGAGGAAGGTGGAGTATGTCCAGATGTTCTGATTTAAGTCCGGTCTGAAAGGCAAGGGCCGTGGACCCTGCCATACTTGGAGCCCAATGAGCAGATCAGACAGCTGATCGTGCCTTGTAAGATTCTCTGCCTTCCTGGAGGGCAAGATAGGGATTACTTGGCATTAAGACTCACAGACTCGATTCACTGGAAACTGCATCACTGGTTTCCTGAGCATTATTAGGTCGTAAATCTCAAAACTAGCCTGGTCACTGAGTTTTGCCTTTCCTGCTAGGAACTGTGGCACAACTAGAGCTCATAGCTGTAGAAAGAATGCTGTAGAAAGAACGCTTGGGGCAGAAGTCCTGTGCCATCCTTGGTTACCTCACGGAGCAGCAGGGCCGGGACCTGGCCTGCTCTTGCTACCTGGGTAGCAGCGTGGAGGGCCTTGCATGCAGATGGGCCCGCCTTGGCATAGGCAGAGCAGATGGCCGTTGGATTCTTCTTCCCTTTTTTTGACAGTTAAAGTGCTTGTAGTATGGCAAGATGTACAAGGGGAATGCAGAAAAGGGTAAAGCCATTTCCTGTTGCATGTGAATGATAAAGGTCTGGCGTTACAGTGATACTAAACCTTTTTTTCCTAGGGTCTACACTGTGACTTTGCCTGCCTGATGTTCAAACACCTGGTCCACAAACCTTCAGAGCAGAGAGTGAAGGAAATTATTATCAATGCCGTTAGGATAGAACAGGTGCGTTTTGCATCAGGGTCTCTTCGTGCTTGCTAGAAGATGTCTTTATCTGTGCTACCGTCTTACTGAGAAGCTCTGTTTTGGTCCCTAGGAATTCCTCACGGAGGCCTTGCCAGTGAAACTAATTGGGATGAATTGCACTTTAATGAAGCAGTATATTGAATTCGTGGCAGACAGACTTATGCTGGAGCTAGGTTTTGGCAAGGTACGGTATTGTTCATAGCCTTCTGGTTCTCCCGGAAACTGGTGTTCTGTATTCAAATTTTGCTGTGGACCTTTTCAGGTTTTCAGAGTAGAAAATCCATTTGACTTTATGGAGAATATTTCACTGGAAGGCAAGACTAACTTCTTTGAGAAGAGAGTAGGCGAGTATCAGAGGATGGGAGTGATGTCAAGTCCAACAGAGAATTCTTTTACCTTGGATGCTGACTTCTAAGTGAACGAAGATGTGCTCTTAATGTTGCTGATTCCTCCCCCTCCAACCCTTCTCATCAAAAAAAAAAAAAAAAAAAAAAATCAGCTACTTGAAGTGAATCAACTAGCTACACTATGAATCACCAATAGTGTTCACGAATAGTATTGTTAAAACTGTGTAGCTACCTCGTACGCAAGCCTGTTGATTAGTGATGCTAGTTGTCTCCCCTAGAAAGAAGCATGGAAAAAAGCTACTTGGGTTCTTAGGAAAGAGCTTGGCCGTGTTGGGCTTTTGCAAGCACCCTGGCTGTCCATGACTTCATGGCTCTTAGCAATCATGGCTCAAGGTGTGGGGACTCTCTGAGTCTGACCCGGCAGGATTAAAGGGTTGCTACAAGGCCCTTGGGAGGGGGTCAGCCTTGGTGCTTCAAAGCAGATTTTAAAGTTTACTTACTGCTGTGTATATAAAATTGGCACTTTACACACAAACCTATTTTGTACTGTTGAGGTAAAGGCCTGATTTGACCTAACTTGGTTTCTAGACCAAACGCAGAGCATTCTGTTGACCACTAATGGGAGCCAGTTCGGGATTTACTAGGTGACCCACGTCTGCCAAACCTGTGCAAGTCAAGCATGTTATTTCTCCTCTTTATTTTCTTTAATGACTTGAGGTGCTTTGTGATCAGCTTTAAAGTCAGTCCTGCACATACCCCTGGGTATTAGCCAGTTGGTGTCCCAAAGAAGGCAGGTTGCGTTTTATATAAATACAGGTCAGGTCCTGTATGGTGGGATCAGAGGGGACAGGAGCTTCCAACTTAAATCATCAAGGATTAGAATGTGATGTGAGCGGGCTGCTGGTCACTTGGGGGTGCAGGAGGAGCAGTTTCTGTCTATTTCTCAAACCGTATTTCCCCCAACTTTGAGTTCTTGTGAAAGACCCTTAGGTCCTTAGCTATAGGATCGGAGGTAGCACCGTACGTTGAGTCTTCAAACGATCCTTGAACAAAATGACCCACTTGAGGTCTTCCTCCAGTTAAGTGGCCAAAACCAGGACTGAAATTGGCTCCCTGAAAAGTTGGGGCATTTATTCCGATTTGCTTTCGTGTGTAAGTAGGTACCGTTGACTTCATCCTTTTATATTTGCTACATGCTTTTTAAATTAGGAAATGTCATTTTGCTGTATATGCCCGATGTATCTGTGGTTCATGTTTTGAAATAATTGCCCGGCACCGCGATTCGTGATCGAAGTGGATATTGTTCAGTGCACTTACTTTCACTTCAGTGCCTGCCTAAATCTGAGCATTGCCTTGTTGGATTCCTGACCTTCAGGAGAAAACTAGAGTTGCGTGAGCTATAAATACATGCTCTATTCACATATTAATTTTAGAATGAAGTACAGAATAATATACCTAATAAGGCTAGTTTGAGGCGACCTGCCTTTGTTACCCCTGTCCCCCAAGCCCCCCCAAAAAAGAAAACCAGCCAAGATGCTACATGGAACGTGAAGGAGGATACGCGCCAATCCTTCGGCCACGTTTGTTACCCTGTTGTATTGTGTTGGCTGATCCCTGGCCCTGTTCCCTTGTCTGTTTCCTTCATTTATTGTATAAATTGTCAAATAGTTGATTTAAGCACTTCTGTAAGAGGGGCTTCCTGTCTTTTAAATTATTGTTACCTAAAGTCGATCCAGATCGTGTGGTTTTTACACTTGTGCAACACAGAAGTGAATAAACGTTTTGCCCCGCGTGTCAGGTGCATGCAGTGGGAAGCTGGAAGCGGGTTTTAGGATTCTGCCTCCTTTAGCGTGCAATGTAAGAATTTCTGCCAGCTCAGGTTCAGTTTCCTGATCTGTTTAAAGGGAAACTGGTGTTAGGCTAAAGCACTTAGAAGTCTCAAAATTGAATGCCGCACAGGTGTTAAGTAGACTGTTCTCGCATCTGTTCCTTGATAAGATTTGCATTTCAGTTTAGGAAGAAAAAACCGGGATTTTTTTTTTCATGAAGGCTTAGGAGTTCATTTGCTTTTCATCCCATTTTGGGGAGGGGACTTTCCTAATGCCTGTTCTGGCACAAGGTCTCTAGGAAACGGGTCTGCCTGAAAGGTGACGGTCAAAAGCATCAACTACGCTGTAGGAAACGGGTCTGCCTGAAAGGTGACGGTCAAAAGCATCAACTACGCTGCACGTGGAGTTTGTAAGCCAGGACTGACTGGGTTCAATTTCCCAGCAACCCTAAGTGAACCACTTCGCGGCCTCAGTTTTCCCATCTGCTAAACAACAGGCGGTGGGACCAGAAGGGGCTAACGATCTCCCCCAGCTTTGTTCTTCCTCGTCTCATCAACTTGACCTGCATGGACTTCTTTGTAGTCTTGGGTTGGTCCCTCTGTCCATAAATGGCCTTGCCGGGCCTGCCTTCTTAAAGCGTCTTTGAAATCGTGACCTGTGTCTGCCACTTTAACCCAGCAGGTAGAGGTGGGCAGGGGGTCTGGCCCGCCCTGCGCAGCTTACCTTTATTCTCAAGCAAGAAGCCGATGCGCAAGTGAATCTGAATGTTAGTGCTGTGGTCATGGAACTAGGGCAGGGAAGGAGCAGCAGAGCTTGAGGTGGACAAGCACTTAGGAGAGGCATGTGGAGGGGGTGACCTTGTTTCTCTGGAGGAGGAAGGGATGGGAGACTTCCTCGGAGAAGGCACATCCAGGTCCTTGCCCGTCCCCCTGTCTCAGCATGAGACCTCCAAGGATCAGGCCCTGGAGAAGTAATTTGAGCGGAGTATTTGGTGTGGGTAATGTCTTGGGGGCAGGCGTGTTCTGTGTCTTAGAGGAACGTGATCTTTGCCCTTTCCACCCGAGGGGCACTTGGAATGTCATTTGACTTGTCAGGTTGGTGGCAGGCCCACTGTGGGTGTTTGGGGCGGCCACGCTCTCGGGACCAACTCCAAATGGCTTCCCTGTGGGTCACCTACAGTCACACCTGCACCTGCCGTCACACCTATGCCAGCTACCTTCTCTAGAACAGACCCATAGAGGGTCTGCATCAGTTAAGTGCAGTCGGGCCACTGAGTCAGAATTGCCCACCCTGGCCTGTGATCCAGCCTGAGCACTGGCTCCTGACAGCTGGAACTGGACGGGTATCTAATGCCACGTGGCCAGGGAGCTGACTGGCTGTGTGTGCTGTTGAGGGTGAAAAGCTCTGCCAGTGTTGGTCCAGAGATCCAGATAATGGTCCCTGGCTCCCGGGGGTGTGGCTGTAGTTTTGAGGGAGCAGGATTGTATGGCGTGGCTTTTGTCGGCCCAGGGAAAGCTAATAGGCCCCCCAGCCCCACCCCACTTCTGTGGAGGAGGGTACCCTCCCGGTGTACTCCGGGCACTTGAAAAAGAGAACGATCAGTGACGGCCCTTGTCGTTCCTGGGAGGGGATTCTGGACACCAGGATGTTTTACGACGAGAATGGCTGACCCCGCTGCCGGATGTAAGGTTCAGGGACCACAGTCCCTTGGCCTGGCTCTAAGGACTGGAGTCGTGCCAGCAGGAGAGCAGACGGAGGTGATCTGAACACCCTCCGGGCTTCAAACACACCAGTGATCATAAGAGTTAAGTGGGTAATGACTTGCTAGGAAAGGGGCATTTTCAGATGCTGGGAACAGAGATGGACTGGGGAAGCTCGGGCTTATCAGAGTGCTGGGGGTGGTTATTAGTCCCTTAGAGAAATTGGGGGGTGAGGGACCAAAGAGCACCCCCCCTTCCCAGATTTGGAGGGAAGGGACTGACCTGTAGCACAGAAACTGCCATCAAGCCAGGACCACAGTGAGATGGGGCTAGGAAATCATCCCACTGGCATTGGGGGAGAGGGTGAGGGTGCTTATCTTTCTGGACTCCCCCAAATCAAAATCGTAGGCCTGCACCTCTCACGGGTTTGTGATCTAGGAACATCCATAACCCCAGCCTGGGTGCCTGTGATTCCCACAGACGGTGTTCACCATTTTTAGGTTACAAAACAAACAGGAGGAAGCCACATGATTGTAGGAACAACAGGTAAAAACCCAAGAACTTCCAGTCAACAGGATGATAGATCTAATGGGTTCAGAGGGAAAAATTTGAAAGCCCAAAGAATGGAGTATTCTAAAGAAAGATTAAAAAAAGAAACTTGCTACGATTTCTAGATATAACCTAACAAAACTACTGGAATTAAAAGTCTTGGGGCTTAAAAAAAAAAGATGCTTAGTAAGAGGGAACACAACTGAGGGTGCATGGGTGACAGCAAAGAACCTGGGGGAGTTCTCTAGAAGTAGATGGGGGGGAGATGTGGAGGGTGGAAGGGGGTGTGTGTTATTTCTAAAGGAGATAGATGTTCATGAGGGGCTGGATGGCTAATGTTTAAAGAGGTGTTGACTGCAAGTTTCCTAGAAGCGACTCGATCAGAAAGTGCAAGGAATCCCAAGTCCAGTAAATGAAAATAAATCCATACTTAGACTCACCTGTAGTGAGTCTGCGCAGCATATCGACAAAGGTCATTAACGTTTACAGGAACGGTAGCTCTATAAAGGAGTAACCATTAAGCAGAAATTTGCAACAGTGCTACGGTCGAAGCCAAAGATTATGGAACCAAATCTTTTCAATGCGGAGAAAATAATTAAAACCTATTCAGAAGTAAGGGAGACTTCAGCCAGAGTTCATGCCTCCCCCTCTTCAAAAGAAAAGTGAAGAATGCCCTTTAGGGAGGAAATGGTACCCAAAGGAAGGATGGTGAGCATAGGAATTGGTCAGCCTGTAGGAAGTCTAAGCACGGATAAAATCAGGGGGACCCAGAACACTGGACCACGTGGTAGGGGCGACACTGGGGGAAGGTCCTTGTGCTAAAAATAAGAGGCCGGTGACACAGGTTCGCCAGACACCTGAAGAATCTGCAGTTCTGCTAGCAAGGTGAGGACAACCTGAAAGAACCCACCAGAGTCACAGGGAGGCAGCATAGGGGCGTGGGACACGTGATCAGTCTAACAGGCAGAAGAGATGAGAAAAGCCAAGCGTGGTGAGTGGAAACCATCATGAGATCCGTGAACAAATGCAGGCAGACCGCCCTAGCCAATTAAAAAGTCATAGGAGCTCAAGACTCCATGAGAATCCATTTCCAAACCTTACATAATGCAGAAGGGTGGATGGGGAAAAAAAGCCTTGGGCTGAACTGTTAGCAAGAGAAAAGGGCAAAAAGGCTTCCTGCAAATAGAAGTTCATGCCTGAAGGATGATCTGGGGAGACGCAGTTGTAATACCGCGTGGCCTCCCTGTCTGCAGTGCCTTTGGGCATTGACTTCTCCTTCCTCCCAGGGCCTCATGGAGGCTGGACGTGGTGGCCAAAGGGGAATGTCTTGTGGTTCTGACCTAATCCTCCTTAGTCACTGTCCCGCTTTTTTAATCCTCACCTAGGATTGTCTGCATCGTCCCTGTTTCAGAGTCCTCTGAGTGTACCTGCAGGTGGTTGGAGGTTCACCCCCGGAGCACAGCCTTTATCGACTGTCTCCAGCAGGTGCAATTCACTTTCCTACCAGAGAGAAGGTGCCTGGTCCTCCCATGTATGTCCAGGCAGGGCCACAGGCTGGGGTCCTGGGTCCAGCATGGGCTCGGCGGGTATAACCTAATGGACGGCACGATGCACACAATTTGGCCCCACTAACGGGATGAACCAGGGGTCGGGGCCTGGATGGTGACAGATGGCAAGACTTGCTGAGTGGGGATGTCAGGTCCTCCTAGTTTGGGGAGGGCAGAGCCTTGGGGGCGTGGCCTGACCTCAGAGATTATAGGACCCGCGCCCGCCGAGACCGCGCCTGTGACCCAGAGAAGGCCTTTCTTTCTATACTCTTGAACTGGATGGAGGTGGTGGGAGGGAGCTGCTGTCTCTCTTGGTGGTGGCAAGATGCTTCAGGAGAGGGCAGGGCCTTGGAAAGCCTCGTTTTCCCTCAGAGGCCACTGACTGACCTCTTTTGCTCACTATCAAAAGCCCTCTGACAGCCCCTGCGGGTTCTCCCAGCCGGAGGCTTAGGGTTTGGGTTAAGTTTGGGGGCGGGGGAGGCCGTTTTTACCCTTGGCTTTGGAGTTGAGGGTGCAAAGGGTGTGGGGCTGCTGCAGCCTCCTCGCGGCCAGGAAGGCAGGCCCTGTTGAGAGAGGAGCCCAGACTCGGGAGAGGAGAGCTGATCCGCAGGGGGCTTCAGAGAAGACGGGGTCTTCAGGACCTTGTTCGTTTTCTGAATCCAGCCGCGCCTGAGTTCCACTCCCCAGGATTTCCACCTAAGTAAGCCAATAAATTCCTAAGAGCATCAGGATGTTTGTGCCACATGCGACGAAGATCTACCTGGACGGCACCCACAGTCGTGAATTCATTTGGTCCACAGCCACCCTGGGGCGTGGGGGCCCCCCACATCACAGATGTGTCCAAGAGGTTCAGGGAGGCCGTGGGCCTTGCTGAGGACCGCAGGTAGATAAACAGCGGCCAGTCAGGGACTCAGGTGTCCCGGTTCTATGGCATGCAAACTTTTCTGAGAACAGGTACCCCAGGCCTCTACTCTGTTCCCGAGGAAAGTGCTTCTGGCTCCCCTACCTGCTCTGCCTGTGTGCCCTGCTCTGCTTTGCCCCTGACACTGGTCAGGTGGCCTGTCTGGGCAGGAGTCTCCTCTATCCTCACTGGCCCAGGCTTTGGACCCAGGGAACCATGCCCAACTTGCTTCTGCCTAAGACCCCCCAATGGCATGGTGGGCCTGGGGAGCCTCCACTGCCCTAGGAAGGCTGAGGAGAGGGTCACGCACTCCCACGGGAATTGGAATCTCAGGCTTAGTAAGGAGGTGGGAAGCAATAACGAGCCTGGCAGGTGGAACGCAGGAAGGTTCCAGCTGTTTCCAGAAAGATCCTGGGGACTGGCTGCCTGTGCGAGGTCTTGCACCGGGCCTCCCCTCCACCTGGGGGCGGACAGCCTCTCCTGCGGGGACCCAGGACATGCTCTGCCAGGTTTGCTTTGGAAGGTGTGCAAATAGGTGCCTGCCTGGGACTGGTGTGGCCTCCCCTGGGCCGATCTGGGTTTCAGTTGCTGAACTGCATTTCCACACCACGGCGGGCCTGTTCATTTCCATTGGTGCAGGGACGGTGCCAAAAAGGCTGGCTTTAGAAATTGTCACTGAGGGGCGACGGGCTGGCTCAGTCGGAAGAGCGTGCACCTCTTGATCTCACGGTTGTGGGTTCAAGCCCAACGTTGGTTGTAGAGATTAATTTTTAAAAATGCCATTGTAGGAATCAGGTGAGTAATGCCTAGCGTATTTTTTGAAACAGCTTTATTGAGGTATAATTACAGACCATCCAGTTCACCCATTTAAAGCCAAACTTCGTTGGCTTTTAGTACATTCAGAGATGTGTCACCATCACCACAATCAACTTTAGAACATTTTCCTGCCTTCAAAAA